GTGTCACTGTTTTGTCTTATTTATCTTGTAATTCGATATATAACTAAAATCTTCAATTTCATTCACTACTGCTGTTAAAGACATCATCAGCATAAAGACAGATTTTGGCCTCCTACTTGCGAAATTGGTAGCTTTTTATCTCAGCATTACTTCTAATCTTCATTGCAAATGGTTCTATAGATAGAATGCATAAAATAGGATACAGAGGACAACTTTGCCCTGTACTCTTCTCTGATCTAAACCAATCAGAACATAAATTGAGCCGACCATTCTAGCTGTAGGAACCATACAGAGCAATTTAATGATATTTAATATCCAGCCAGGAAAAACTATATTTTTTCATATTAAAAAAAGTGTCAGTAACTGGAGATGCTGGGAGGAGTGAAAGTAGACTACAATAAAAAAATAAGTTTATAGGGTACCCTGAAGAAAACTGAAAAAAAGGAGAATTTATGTTTGATGGGAAAATCAATTGAGAGTTTGAATATTCTGGTGGCATTTAGGGAATTTGCATTCCCCAAATTACCAGCACAGAAATAGAAATACCCACAAGTATAATATTTGATCGTTTGTATTTTCTTGATCACTCATTGCAGGTGAAGGCAAGTTTTTAGTAGTACTGTGCAAAAACAAAACCTTGAAGTCTCATTTATTTAAATTAAGATTTGCATGTTGCTATATTCTACTTGTGTTTTTTATGGGTGCATCAGTTGCTCTGTAGCATTGTATTTGTCTGTATGTGGCTATTGTTTATGAGTAATTAGTGGTATTGTGTAGACTGTGTATGAGGATTGCTTGTGGAATTGTGGATGATATGTCACATTGTGTGTTTGGTGGTGGTGTATGTGTGGTGCTGCTTGTGGGGTTGTGTGTGTGTATGTGGATTGTCAGTGGTGTTCTTTGTGGGGACTGTCTGTGTGTTTGTGTGTAGGCTGTTTGTATTATTTGTATGAGGGAGAGGTTTCTTCTGCAGCTCTGTGTATATTTAGGCGTTTGGGTGACTTCCCTGGGACCGGTCTGTGGACCGGTCTGACCAGGTATGATAGCTGCTGTGCGCAGCCCTACTGCAGTATGGATTCATGTTCCCTAAGATCACTACCTCTTATTCCTGCAATGAGTATATTGAGGATTGCCCCTCACCACCTGCAATCAGAGTTTGCAGTAGAAGATATCTGAAGTCTCACTGGGACTTCTGATATGCAAGAGAGCCTGTTTGGCTCTTGAGTTCCGTGCATGACACACATCCTATAGGCTGCTGACCACTGACCTATTGTATATTATAAACATGATAGTTTTACTTCTATGCTTATTAGGCAGACTAGATGGGCCGAATGGTACTTATCTGCCGTCACATCTTATGTTTCTATGTCTATTGCAAGACAGGAGATGCAATATCACCTCAAATTATGTACACTCCACAAATATTTCTGCAAATGACGAATAAATAAATAAATATAAAACAGCCTAAATAAACCTATTTTTTAAACATATTTATGTATATCTGTGCAGCAATGTACACATGAAATTACAAATTATGCTGTAAATTCTTATCACTAACTCTTCACCCGTTTCATAAAAAATATTATACTGATAATTTTGTTTCCAAAAAGAATCAAGTCAGGCCAAAACACCTGTAATCTATTCCCTCGCTAATTTATATTATTGATGCAAACATAGACCAGGAATATCACAATAGATAAAAAAATAAACTAAATGTAAAATCTTGGCACACACTCTCTGCACCAATGTAATGGTCTCAGGTTGAGTTCCGCTGACATTCTGCATTCGTGGTCTTCTATTCGCTAACCCTTCGAGTTCCAGATGGATACTTTGGCATCTGAACAGTTAAGACAGCAGAGGTTGGGCTGATAGTATCGAAGGCTGCTGATGCACGAGGTAGGCATGCTGAATTAAAAAAACTAACCACAGCTGTACCTGTCCCAGTTTGTGTGCCAGCCGCCTTTCCACCAGTCTGTTCTACACTGCTTCCCAGTCACAGCCCATCTGTCTCTGGATCTTCAAAGTGCTGAAGAACACAAACATCTGAGCGTATCAGTTGCAGGATGCGGTGTGTATTTACAATTAGAATTCTAAAGCTCTATCTCTAAAAAAAAAAGAAGCATCTAAAATTCGAAGTCAACATGTCCCATGGCCTTCCAACTAAATTCCAAAGCTTGTTTCCAGCATTTGGTAATGCAATAGATTTTGTTCTGCTTAACAAAGCTAAATGGGCTCAAAATGAATTTGTTGCCGTTGCTGTACATTCCTATATACTGCCACATGGTAAAGAGTTTAGAATCCTCTGTGAGGTAAAAAAATAAGCACAATGATTAATTGTATAGACCGGTATAAATGATTGGACTGTAAGGACCAGACATGAACCTCAAGGTTCTGAGTAATAATTCCAGTAAATGTAAATCCTGGTCTGTTTTAGTGATTCAATGACTTTTGTCCAGTCTTGTGACTGATCTGGCAGTATAGCATGAGAGACTCTATAGACATTATTAATAAAGATCAATAAAGGCTACCAGGTACCAAAATGGAATAAGGAACATAGTACGTTCCCAAACCACTCATCAAGGCTCCCCTACTACCCCAGGATTTAGAAAAAAACAAAAAACATGTTAAGACACAACTGGGAAATCCCTGAATCCTGGATTGATAGGGGTGCCTTGAGGACTGGTTTGGGAACCACTGCTTTATTCCTATGCTATCCCCAGGAAAGTAAACATTAGGGTGTGATATCCTCACATGTACAAATGATATAACAACAAATATACAGTGACTGAGTTTGTGTGGTAGCAAAGATAGCTACAAACCACCTGAGTGGAAACCCCTTGTACCCCCCAAACAGAATACTTATAAATACATACAATTGTGGGACACACATCTGATGATTCTAGAAAATAAAACAGAATACTATAGAACCACATGTACAAGCCTTAAAAATATAATTCTCTATACACATAACAAACTGCATGCACACAATGACATTCCACAGAAATACAACCTTACATTCACTCATTAATGTGCCACAGAAAATAAACCCCTAGCACTCACACACACTGCCAGGCTAGACAAAAACACCCACAGCATTCACACACTGCAACGATATCCAAATACACCTACAGCATTCACAGACACAGCCACGCTGCACAAATACACAGCCAAAATTCACACACATAAATACGCTCCCATATTCTAGGACTCTTACCTGGTACACAAATACGCCTCAACATTCACACACACCGCTACACAATACATCTACACATCACATCACATTCACATATGGCAACACTACAAAAAACACACCTCTCTCTCTCTCTCTCTCCCTCTCTCACTCACTCTCTCTCTCTATATATAGTCAGATTGGAAAACTTTGCCTGGTTTCTGGATACAGTGGCCTATAATTAGCAGATACAGTGATAAAATGGGAGAACAAATTCATAAATTGATAATGTACTATTTTCTCTTCAAAGAAAATATTCCCATTAACACCAATAAAAACATTAATTAAAACAAAGAAACAAACAAACAAAATATTCCCAATAACACCAATAAAAACATTAAAACAAACAAACAAACGGGTATAAGACTGCATACTGTGTAGAGTAGAAAAGGACTTTTGAAGGCTGATAAGCCTAAATATTACCCATTTAGTAACAAATAATGGAGCACACTAGAATTTGAAGGGCTACTGTATTTCTTTTATTGTGTATTTTGCATTGTGCATTGTGTAGTTTGTATTGTGTTCTTAACCCCTTGAGAACCGATGACGGTTCAGGACCGTCATCGGAAACATCCCCTTGAGGACCTGAACCGTCATAACAGTAATCGTTACTCACCCGGTCGCCGTCGTTCTCCCGGCGGCGATTGGCGTTGCTCCCGGTGTGGGGAGACTGACTGCAGCCCAGACAGGACCCCAGGGGCCATGTGATCGCTCAACAGAGCAGTCACATGGTCACAATAGGTATCCATGTGTCTGCCTGCAGGGGGACAGCCTGTGCTGACAGGCAGTCTCCCTGCTAGTGTAAAATAAAAAAATTAATTTTTTTAATGTTAATAAATAATAATTATATATGTGTATATATATATATATAGATGGAAAAAACAGATAAAATTCTTATCTTGTAATACCTTTTTTTTTTCATTTCAGACATTACCAGCCTCTTTCTTACTTTGCATCTCAGGCTTGGTATATTCGTCATCATCAATGTTCTCTCTCTCTCTCCTTTTTCCTATTAAATGACTTTAATTTATAGAAAACACATTATTATTAATAAACACACAAAAAAAAACCCGAAAAAAAACCATACACAACATTCATACATGATGATGGAACCTTCTTCCATCCTCTCTCTGCATTGCTATTCATAGTGCTAATATGTGAGCTAGCATTTCTCCTTCTTTTCTCCTTTCTTTCCTTTTCTTTCCTTTTTCCTTTCTTTCCTTTTTCCTTTCCCTTCTTTTCCTCTCCATTTCTTTTCTCTCTTCCTTTCTTCCTTCCCTTCCTCTTCTCTGTCTATTAGTCTACTGCCAACAGTTTTTCTAGCCACTTATTTATGTGAAAAAAAAATTTTTCCTTCAAATTTCTATTCAAACCTCCCTCCATCCTAAGTTGCGAAATTAATAAGTTTTTTAATATATCCCAATTTGGTAGAGTTTTGGTTCTCCACCTTTTAGCTATGAAGAGTTTTGCTGCTATTAATGCATGAGAAAGAAAATATTGCAAATCCACATTATACTGGTAAATATTTTAGTGTAATAAGCACATTTCCGGGGCAAGGGGAAAGTTAAATCCAGTTACCATTTCTATTTTAGACAAGAACATTTTCCAAAATTCTTTAAGTGGGGGGCAGCTCCACCAAATATGTAGACAGTCTCCCACTCCCCCTTTACATCTCCAGCATGTATCTGTTTTACTCTGGTCTATTTTATTTAGGCGGCTAGGAACCAAATAGAGTCTATTAATAATCTTAAAATGTAGTTCCACTAAATTTAGGACGCTGACCTAGCATTCTCCTCGGAGGATCATAAGATGTTCGGATCTCAGTTCGACTACTCTTAAATATCTCAATATATCTGTGCCCTATTCTCTCCTTGTGTTTCCCCAGAGCATTTTCTGCTATCTCCTTTGAAGCAAACTGCACGAAGGCCTCCCCTGTGCTTCTCCCCTGGTAGTCGACCGTCAATCTTATCCCATTTGGCACGATTCTCAACCCTGAGAAAAACTGTACAATCTCCTCTTTGCTGCACCCAAAAGGTAGCCCTCGTAGCCGCACTGTTCCATCAGTGGCCGTGTAAACATCTCCAGTGCTATTGTGTTTCAAAACCCATTCCATTTCTGTGTTATTTGACTTGAACACTTCAATGTATCTGTGTCCCATATATTTACAGTCTTTCTCCAAAGCCTTCTTAAGATCGTCGTCTGTTTCCAGAAGAATGAAAGCCTCCCCACTTGGACGTCCTTCTTTGGATGTGGTGAAGTGAATACCACTAATTCCATCAAGTATGGCGCAGTCTGAAAAGAACTCTAGCACTTCTTCACGTGTGCAAGACCATGGCAGGCCACGGACTCTTACAATGTATTCGTCTGACATTATTTCCTACAGTCCTGTGTGTGGCGAATCAACTGCAGCGAGCGGTGAAGAACCTGCTGTAGTATGATGAGTTTATTATTTTTCTTCTTAAAGAGGTCCTGGAAGACCCATAATTACAGGAATGGGGACTCTCACAGAACAGATCTCAGGACTGGTAGAAAATACCCTAAAACCTCTAGTCACCAACACTAACAGCTTCATAAAAGACACAACTGACTTCCTCAACAAACTCAGCCAAATCACCAATCTCCCTGCTAACACCATCCTTGTAACCATGGATGTGGAATCTCTGTACAGCAACATTCCACATACAGATGGCATCAATGCTTGCTTCCATTTTCTCTCTCATGTCAACAACCAAAAATACAGCCCCCGAATTATCACAGAACTGGCACTATTTATCCTCACACATAACTACTTCAGTTTCAACAATGAGGTTTACCTACAAACAGGGCCAGATTAAGAGCCCAGTGGGCCTGGTGCTGACAATTATGACGGGCCTAATTACAGAATCATATCGACCAAAACCAGTAAAACACTCCCAAGCATCATATACCTGATGGAGATGGTGCTGGAGAGAAAGAAAAAACAGCAGCTATAAGAAAACACATACCCTAGCTCAATCTCTCTCTAATTTATGTTTTCATCTTTCAAGTAAATCCATAATCCCTAACAGCAGTGTCCAGTCAAGCAGGAAGTAAATGGGCGTGGTAAAAGGGTGTGCCACTGACACAAATCACGTAATCACGTAACCTGCCAAAAGGGGCAAACATGCCCAAAAAGAGGACATGTCTGCTCAAAGAATTAGAAGGCCAGCCTGGCATGAATGCATGTCAGGCTGCCTGCCAATCATGCAGCTGGCCAACTAAGGGCATACTATGCAGACAGCACCCTGAGCTTGGCATAAATGCATCTAATGATGCGCTCAACGCTTTCTAAGGACTCGCTAGTCCACTTGTCTCCTTACCTTCTTACTAGCAGGCAGAAGCTCCTGGTACATGGTTTGGGACAGAGAAAAGCTGTATGTAGTGAGTGTAGAAGAAAGGGAACATGCCACAGTGTTAGAGAGACCAAAGTCAGCATTACCTTAAAGGATAACTATAGGGTCAGGAACACAAACATGAATTCATGACCCTATAGTGTTAACACCACCATCTAGCCCACCTGGACCTCTCATGCCTCCATAAATATAGCAAAATCTTACTATATTCAAGCCTGAAGCTGTAACTCTGCATGCTGTTAGACTCATAAAAACAAGCAGTCTGCTTCCCCATAGGATTGGCTGAGACTGACAAAGAGGCAGATTAGGGTCAGAGCCAGCATGATTCAAACACAGCCTGGCCAATCATCATCTCCTTATATAGATTAATTTAATTAATGAATCTCTATGAGGAAAGTTCAGTGTCTGCATGCAGACGGAGGAGACACTGAATGTTTGGATGCATTTTAGGCAGCCATGACCCAGGGAGGATCTCTAACAGTCATCTAAGGAGTGGCCAGTGAAGTTATCACTAGGATGTAATGTAAAGACTGCATTTTCTCTGAAAAGACAGTGTTTACAACAAAAAGCCTGACAGTAACGATTCTACTCACCAGAACAAATTCAATAAGCTGTAGTTGTTCTGGTGACTATAGTGTCCCTTTAACTATATTCATTGTCAGCCAGTCCACACAAGTTTTGTTCCCATACATCCCACTTAAGTTTCCATACTTAAGTAAGAGTATGTGAAAAGTAGTTAGGGTTGCCACCTTTCTTGGAAAAACATACCGGCTTTACTAATTTGCATAATAAAATATGTATGGATGACATCACATGATGTAAATCACAAGGAGTGACATAAGAGAAAATGTTGTAAAATCACCAAAAAACTACTTAGTTTGATTCTGCTGTATAGATGGATTCCTCCCAGTGCCCCCATGTCTCCCAGTGCCCTCATGACTCAGTGCCCCATGTGTCGATTACTCCAGGTCTCAGTGTTCCTATGTATCAGTGTCTCAGTGCCCCAGGGGACACTTGAAGACATGGGGACACAGACACTAGAGACACTGGCTGGGAGACATGGGGACATTGAGACATGGGGATACAGAGACACCGAGGCCACAGAAACTAGGGACACTAGCTTGGAGACATGGGGACACTGTGTCCCCATGTGTCTGTGTCACATTATCTCCCAGTGTCCCTTAGTGTCTCAGTGTATGTCTCAATGAGAGACATGGAGGCACTAGGAGACATGGGGACAGTGAGACACTGGCTGACTGGGGGCACTGGGAGACTAGGGGTCACTGGGAGACTATGGGGGCACTGAGACACCAGGGACACTGGCTGGGAGACATGGGGACACTGTGTCCCCATGTGTCTGTGTCACATTATCTCCCAGTGTCCCTTAGTGTCTCAGTGTATATCTCCTTGCAGCATTTCCACCCATCCCTTACATCCCTGAGCTGTAGGCTGTCTCTGCAGGGTGGGAGTTGCTGTCTGGACTCTCTGTAGCTGCACCCCTGCAGATCAGTGAGTATAGATAGGCAGGGAGGGATATGCTGGAACTTCCTATCTCTGCCTGTCTCCACATACAGCGACCCCTACTGGCCAGTGCTGGTATTGCAGAGTAATCTCTTGTTTATACTGATAAAAATACCAGCATTTGTATTGCCAGTATCGCTGCAATATTGGCACCAGCCAGGCAGCCTCAAATACTGGCTGTGCTAATAAAATAAAAGCCAGGTGGAATCCTTAAGTGTAGTGTGTGAAAAAAAAAAAATGTAAAAAAAAATTTTTTTTTTTTTTTTCTTAATCAATGGGCCTATTCCATGGGCCTGGGCCTGGAGCTGCAGCTCCATCAGCCCCTATGTTAATCCGGCCCTGCCTACAAACCATGGGCACTGCTATGGGCACTAAGATGGCACCCCAATATGCTAATCTGTTTATGGCAGATCTTGAACAGAGATTCCTAGAAATACAACACACCAAACCATACAAATATTATCGCTATATCTATGATATCGTCATAATTTGGACTGAAAGCGAAGAAAAACTGATACAGTTCCATGACTCTTTCAACACATTCCATCCATCAATCAAACTAAAAATGGAATATTCCACTAGATATGTGAATTTTCTGGACACCGCTGTGACATGTAATAATGGCACAATCCACACCTTGGTTTACAGAAAACCCACAGACAGGTGCAGTTACCTACACAGCTCCAGCTTCCACCCCTCTCATACTAAACAGGGCATCATCTACAGCCAAGCCACTAGGTACCATCGCATATGCTCTGATCCTAATGACCGTAATTCCCATCTAAATGTACTCTCCCAAGCTATGAGACAGAAAGGCTACAAACCAAAGACTATTACCAAACAAATCAACTCTGCTGTAAAAACGCCACGCACGCGCCTGCTACAGTACAGAGAGAAAAAAATATCCACACAAGTGCCACTTGAGGAAATACGGAAAATCATCAAAGACCTACAACCAATATTAACAGAAGATGAGACTCTGAAAAACATTTTCCCTGAAACACCCATTTTGGCCTTCAGACAACCACCAAACCTCCAACAAAAATCAATCAACAGGAGGCTGCCCACTGATGGTAAGAATGAAGAAAACGGGACCAGTAAATGCAAAAAGCCTCGCTGCAAACTATGTCAGCACATATGCACAGACACCACAGCCACACACAACAATAAAACCTACAACATTAAAGGTTCATACTCCTGCACATCCAGCAATGTGGTACACATGATTCAATGCATAAAATGCCACCTAGGATGCTACATTGGGGAAACCACCCAGCCATTAAATTGCAGAATGAATATGCACAGACACTCTATTAAACACCACAAAGAATAATCATACTGCACTCCTGTGGGACACCACTTTACCCAGCCTGGCCACTCACTGAAGGACCTAAAAATCAAAGTACTGAAAGGGGGTTTTAAAAATACCCAGGAAAGAAAAGCTTTTGAAGCCAGAATGATTAAATGGTTTAACAGCAAGAATAGAGGACTAAATATTGATTTGGGATTCCTGTCCCACTACCAACACTTTACATGAACACTCTCCCAGCATTATCCTACTCTTCTGTCATATGTACCAACACTTTAAAATGCATTCCTATATGTTTATTCTATCTATATACAAAGTACTATGTGTAGACCTATGCTTTCCCATACTCGTATGCATGAATGCTTATATATATTACTGTGCATTTATATTTGTGTATAGGAGTTCATGTGCATGTATGTATATGTGTTTATGTATATGTACATGTGTTTATGCGTTCACATATACATATTTCTGTGTGTGTGCATGTATAAAGTGTATCATCCTGTGCACTGTCTGCTTGTTTGTTTTTCTTTTCCCTCTCTCCCCCCTACTCTTCTCTTCAACAAGATATTTATGACCCTCTGCTAAGATGGTGTCTATTTTCTAACAAACCTGTGTCTTATTTACACTCATGTCGCTGTAACCCCTGTATCACAACTCAACTTTGAATTCTATGTGTCGTTTTGCTCAGAAATGCTTCAGACTTGAGAAAGGGAGGTTCTCCCGAAAGCTTGTCATTAAAAAATTCTGTTAGTCCAATAAAAAAGGTATTACAAGATAAGAATTTTATCTGTTTTTTACATCTACATCACTGGACTAATACGGCTACAATCTCTACTTGTATATATATATATATATATATGTGATATATAGACATATATTATATCTTGATTTTAAGCAGATGTACTCATGCTTTGTTATTAAACATTTTAATTCTTTTTTTTTTTTTAATAGATTTGCACTTTTAATACCTTGCTACAACTCAAAAAAAAATCCTTTAAATAATAGTGGCAATTTGTCTCCCGTCACAATGTTCTTGCCCTACAATTTAGGTGATTGCGGCAAATACTACTCAGCAATTAACATTTGACCAACAATCATTACTTGACACAACAATTTTTTAAGAAAGGCACTCAAGAAAAGTCGATTGATGCATTGTATCATGGAGCTAAATTATCTGATCGAACAGCCTCTTTTGAAGAGATGGCGGGACTCTAATGACA